TTATAGGGTGATTTGAAACACGGGGCGCGTTCCATCCGACCAAAAATTCCGGTTCGAATTACCGAAATTTTCGTATGCCGAATGGCACGGTATTTTCCACCAGGCCAGACCAATCTCGCTTTATTCCCGCTTGGGAATATTTATGACGGGACGCACGGGGCTTCTACTGTAAGTACCGCAGAGAAATGGTAGGAAATTTTCCCAGCATTCCTTACATACTCTCACTGGGGTTCTTCGTCTTGCGGCCAGGGAAGACGTCATAATCTGTTTCAGTGACATGTTCATAATATTTTCAATAAAAAATAAACCAAATGGCTGACCGTGGGCGCATTCCATTCGACCAAAATTTCGGAAAAATTCCGGTTCAAAATCAAATGAAACAGAAAATTTCCGGAAACTCATTCCGAAAATTTCGGTCAACCTCTTGAGGTTCTCCCTTTTTTCGGAAATTTGGAATTCCGGAAATTTTCTGGTCAGTTCCTATAGTCGAGCCTGACAGCTACAAGATGGCGGCGAGTCGATTCCACACTGGATGCAGAATGATCTGTCACAGTTCGAGCCTTTTATTGATTGCCTATCCTCCACTAAAACCTTAGGATCTGCTTTTCTGGAAAATTGTGGACTGGTCGTTCCGATTTTCCTGTGGGCATTTGCCCGATCTGTATAATCTCCCGCAAGAAAAGTTCGCAAGTTTGTTATCTCACGAAAATAATGTATGAGTCGGTCAGGTAATATCTGGGAAGAGTTTACTTAAAATAGTCGTGAATGCGTGTTAAATTTCTTCGCATCAAGCAACTTACTACACTTACGACAGCCACTTCATCATTACTCTAGAGCATTTTGTCGAGTGAATATTGGCGGGCCGGCATGACGGCACGCACAGGGCTTCTACTGAAAGTACCGCAGAGAAATGGTAGGAAATTTTCCCAGCATTCCTTACGTACTCTCAATAAGGTTCTTCGTCTTGCCGCCAGGGAAGGCGTCATGATCTGTTTCAGTGACATGTCGATGATATTAAATAAAAAATAAACCAGAAAGGGCCGATGGAACATGAGACAAGCTACAAAATGAAGTCACGATATTAATAGTGCTTACTGCGTTCGAGTCATTCCCGATGCTTTCGAATGATGGCGGACTCCACCGACGCCAATGATCTGGAACAAAACAAGGTCATTATATATCGGATCACGCCTAAACACACGTGAAGAAAGACTTCGGCAGGAAAAAAACGTGAGCGAACAAAACCGGGGAATGCCGATGAAGCAAGTAATCCCGCAATGATGAACGAATTACACAACATGAACCTTTTCCTCCTTCTCCCCCTGAACCAAGTTCAGATCTACGAACTGAACTTAAAGATACCAAAGTGCCTACGAATGG